TCAAACTTGTTCATGTTTTAGATCATGTTTTAGACTCTGGCTTCTACACCAATTACTATTTCATAAAAGACAATGATAATGGACAGCGCTGGACATTTAAGACTGAAAGGCAATTTCAAGATGAGACAGATTATCAATCCAAGGATATTCGATACATAAAACCAGTGTCTTGATGACCTTGAAGAACTAGTACTGGAAGATAGCGAAGAACCTGAAAATAGCCAACATTTATTTGTCAGCCTAATCAAACAGATGTTGGCCTTGGATCCAAACCAGCGGATAACACCCTCGGAGGTTCTCTACCATCCCTTTTTCAACCCAGGCCTGCACTGGCATGGTCTCTCAGCAGCCTTCAAGTTGGAAAAGAGAAAGATCACACAAAATCAATCTCCAGCATTGCTTCAACCCTGGACAAAAGTAACAAAAACATATACAGGGATTGGAAAAGGCCATTAACAGCAAATTACACTGCAAGAATTAATTAAGCTGCTCCAATAATTATCACTTTGGCTTTTCTCTTTTTCTTTGAAATTTTCACTCCCCCCACCCCAACCAGTCATGGCAGATGGCTGTCTCTTTCTGAGCCTGGTTCTGTCGAGGTTTCTTCCTTTTAGAAGGGAGTTTTTCCTTCCCACTGTCGCTAATTGCTTGCTCACAGGGAATCACTTGATTGTTAGGGTGGCCAAAACTCTAGGGGAACTACCAATTCTTGTGAAAATTTAAAAGAAAAAAAAAGGCCTAAAAAAATAAAAACAACTGATGAATATGTTCTTAAACTTAGGCACAATTTTGCTTAAAATCCATTAAGTAATCTCTGTGTCAAGTTCTTACCAATATTCAAAGCGGAGCAGCGGACAACTTACCATCATATCAGTCCTTCAATCAGACCTAATTTGATACAAATTGGATGTTAATTAAATGAACCAGCTTTAAGCATCAGCTAATTGTTAGTATTTTTTTTTTAAATATAGTGCTACCCTTTAGCCTCCTAGTACAGCGGTCCCCAACCCACGGGCCTCGGACCGGTACCGGTCCGTGAGTCGTTTGGTACCGGGCCGCGAGAGTTCAGGCTCAGGTGTGAAATGTATCGTTTTCAGGGTTTTTACCGGTTTTCAGCATTATTTTGTTATCGTTTTTATTGTTTACTCGGTTTTCCTGGGTCTTTTCACGTGTATTATGAATACATTTTCTTTTTTTCGGTACCGGTACTAGTTTTATTTTGTTGTATTTATCCGCGACACCTTAAAGGCCGGTCTATGAAAACATTGTCGGGCAAAAACCAGTCCGTGGCGCAAAAAAGGTTGGGGACCGCTGTCCTAGTAGACATGCCTGCGATATAAATGTGAAAATCCTCTTTTCTTTAGAAAAGTTGAGCTCTGAAATTGAAGTCAAGGTCCCTGAGATTTAAGCCTTACAGAGATTTTCAGTAGATACAACCATGGTATTGATTTGAAAATTCTGTGTTACCTCATTTACCTCATTCTTGAGTTATTGCATTCACAAACCTGGGGTCCACAGCAACCCGTCATATAGCAAACTCAAAAGATTAAGAGGTGAAACATGTTGTGGACTACATTTACAGTGGGAAATGTGCACATTCTCTAAGTACCTTGAACTTATTATTTTATTAGAAGAGTCTTATACTGTGTGAGATGTTTGTGCCTATTCTGGGTCAGTTCCAGAGGAGATGCTCGACAAAATCGGGCAGCCAACTGTGACAGTTTGCTTCAAGCATAAACAACCTTTCTTAATCCACATCACAAACTGGCATGGATAATATCTATAAACACACAGTACATTTATAAAAAATTTACAAGTTTCAAGTGCTTTGGAGAGAGCCTCATGAGCTAATAAGTAGCCTACTTCCCAAGGTCTGAACTGCATAGGTCCATTAGTGTTCTCCTCAGTCATGATTCTACAATTGGTCACGATGCCCAAAGTGTGGGTTGCAAAGGTACTGTGGGTACATCAGAAATCCAGTTTGAAATTACTCACAAGTATGTACTACTGGTAAATATTTAGAAATTAATGTATTTATTTATATGAAAAGTTAATTGAAACATATAAGGTGGCTCGTTTGTGATATAGCAGGTAGGTCACACATTTGTCTTACCTCTTTGCATATAACTGGGTAGCAATGGCAACAGCCAACAGCCTGCGTTGTTTATGGGTTTTAAAAACATTTTCAAGTAAATGCATAACTTTCTGATAGATTTTGTTTAGAGTGATAATTTAAGATTTGGTGTGGCCCATGGGATTTTCAGAAAGAAGTTAGCCACAATACTCCTGACCTGACTTTGGGAATGGGGTGCTTCAAGCTGCTATTGACCAAATAATGACACAGGCTTGGTTGGTCCTATTGTTTGGAACAGAGAAATGTGTGAATTTATAGGATTTTATTTATTTATTTATTTATTTATTTATTGTCAGCAGTGTTGGGCTTAATTACTTTGAAAAAGTAATTAATTATAGTTACTAGTTACTTCTTTAAAAAAGTAACTGAATTAGTAACTGAGTTACAAGATTCTAAAAGTAATTAATTACTTGAAAAGTAACTATTGTGTCACCCATTGTGGGTATAATTGGCTATTTTTAACTACTTTTGATTTTACATCTACATTTCACCTTTAAAAACTATTTACTTTGCCTTGTTTGGTATAATCCTTTTCAGCACAACCACACTCGTCTGAATTTACAGTTATGTTTTCATTTTGACATACTGTATTAACACAATTGATCTCAAATCAGACAAAAAACTTAAAATCTGAGTAGAAAAAGTTATATTTTTACTGTAACAACCACAAACATGTTTAATGAAACATATTTCATAACTTTAAATGTAAATATAAATAGTCAATTTTAAAAATCATATGCACAAGTTTTGCAAACAACAAAGCTATTTGCAGCCGCCTTTTACCCCTCTTTTTTTTCCTTTTTTTTTTTTACAACTATTTTAAACTATTTACATAACAATCGGGTTTTCTAGATTCAATAAGATGCCACACAAATTATTTGTGCCACTCCAAAAATTTCTGTCCACTATAAAGAAGAACATCACAGCCTGATACCTGCAGGCCTGACAGCAGGTGTATCACTCCTGTTTTCTACCTGGAGACAGCAGTCACAAGACAACACATTAACTACACACTCCAAACACACTAAACGTCACAAATCTGTCAGATCTCAAAACTCTCTCTCTCTCTCTTTCTCTCTCGCCGCCACTCCTAAAACTTCCCCCTCTATCTAAACAACCAAATGCGCAGCGCAGCTGCTTAAAGCTGTAGCGCCCAGATTACTTACAGCTACTTCCCTGCCACTGATATAGGATGCGGTAAGCTGAAGACAGCTTCAAAATAGTAAAATGGTAATGCCACCGCATCGCATTTTCTTGTTAGTAACGGTAACGGCATTGCAACGATAGAAATAGTAATTAGTTAGATTACTCGTTACTGAAAAAAGTAAACCCGTTAGTAATGCGGTTACTTGTAACGCTGTTATTCCATCACTGATTGTTAGCTCATAATTTTTTTTAAAGATATCCCTGCACTACACTCACTTCACAGTAAATACAAAGCAGCCAGTCTTCTAGTTTCAGCTCCAACAGCACCAGTTATGCATACAGGGACGTAATTTCCAGGGTGTTTG